CATTGAGGACCTCGAGTCCTGTGTCCAGCTCGGAGGCTCAGGAGAGACCTTGTCACTCTCTACAGCTCCCTGAAAGGACAAAAATATGTTGCCAGGTGGGGGTTGGTGTCTTCTCCCAGGTAACAAGTGTCAGGACAAGAGAACATGGTCTTAAGCTGTGCCAAGGGAGGTTTAGGTTGGACATTGGGAGGAATTTTTTCACAGAATGGGTGATTAGACATTAAAGTGGGCTGCCCAAGGAGGGAGTGAAGTCACCATTCCTGGAAGTGTTTAAGGAAAACTGGACTCACTGGCACTCAGTGCCATGGGTGACACGGTGGTGATCGGTCATAGGTTGGACTCGATGCTCTCAGAGGTCTTTTCCAACTTAATTGATTCTGTGATCCCTTTGATCCTTATCACTGCCCAGGGATCATTGTAACATGCTGCCACTGAAATATCACAGAGCAGTTTGGGCACTAAGGGACAGTGTTGCAGAAGAATTGTTAGTGGTCCATGGTTGTGCCCAGTACTCCTGCTGCCAGGCCTTTAACCAATCCACAGATGAAACCCCATGCATTAAGATATAACATTTTAAGTGAAGTCTCAGAATACTGCACTAAGTATTTTCCACACTTGCCAGATTATTATTAAATTTCTGCCTTGTAGGAATTCTGAAAGTCTTTTTGTTTTAAATGTGAACAGTTTCAAGTGGCAAAATTCCCTTTGGTTTTCAGCTAGTTCAATAAGGCAGCAGCGCTGTCTCACAGAAAGGGGAAGATAGGTCACCTTGAGAAGTGAGACTGACTTAAAGCTACTCCTCTCACTTTCTGGTCCTTTCTTCCTTACACCTGAGGATTTTTTCAGATGAAGAAGTGACAAGCCTTCCCTGCAATGCATGCAGCTTTTACCTCATCCCAGTAAAAGAGACAACATTTAGGATCATGCCAGTTCATTTCCAGGAGGATGCTGTTTTGACACTGATACTTCGAGACAAATATTTATTTGGGGTAACCCTATTTATTTATTCTGCTTTGTTTTTCTTCCTGGACCAGTGGGAACAATCAACAAGTTCATTTCCATGCTGGGAAATGATGGCTGGACTCGTCAGTAAGCTCTCTAACCAAAAGAAGTTTTGGGTTCTGGTTTCTACCCAGGGCCACACTTTTTTTTTGCTTTATGGTTGCTTTCTCTTTGTTTTCACTCTCTGGCTGATTTTTAATAGAGCTTCAGTCAAGCAGCAGTCCAATATCTTGACCTGCAACTTATACCCAAGGAAACCCCATGGGATACATCTCATGACATGTGGTCAGTGGCCTGGGGATGGTCACCCATCACCAAAGAAAGAAAATTATTTCATTATTGAATGCAGGATATTTCTCCCAGCATCAGCCTTAACAAAGTCTGTGATTTACAGCAGCAGTACAGTATGAAAGCTTCTCTTGGCAGATAATGTTTATATGTTGCCCTGCCTTGCCTATTTTCTATTTACATTTCAAAGATTATTGGTTAAAATGGTCAAAGGTGCCATTACCATAACACATCAATCACATGCTTTTTGCTAGAAAGTTGTGATCTTCTTCAATTTAGACTGAGGTTCACATGTCTGCACAGGCCAAGGAAAGGGGTAACTTTTATTTTCATGTGAAGTCTGTATAATTCAAGAACTGAAGAGAAAGAAGTCCAGAAAAATAAAGGTTATTGTGTAAATAGAGCTGAGAGGAAAAGAAAATTATCTTGAAAAAAAATCTGACGTTTACATGGCACATTTAGGAAAAAAAATCTTTCTCATTTCCAGGTCATTTTAATTGCAAGAGGGCACCTGTTTATTAAACTATATCACTTGAAGATTCTTGGGAAGTATAAAGATCACAGATTATGGCTTTGGCTACTGTTCAGCATATGAAATCAAGGAGAGGAGGAATTTAACAAGTGTGAGAGTGTTGTAAAAGCTGTCACCCAGCAGTGGTTGTGCTGGGAGAGCCAGTAGGCTTCGTGCAGCTCTGGCACTTGGTTGTCTGCGTGTGCAGTCCCTGCAGTGCCCCTTTGATGGGGTCAGAAGTGACAGTGCTTGGCCTCCTGGAGCCCACCAGCACAGGGACAGTGGGAACAGCCTCTGGAGCAAGTGGTGTGAGAGCCTGTGGGTGAGCAGCGTGTTAAAAACACTCAAAGGGTCTTTGATTTAAGGGCTGAAGTGTCTCAGTGCTTTAGGGAGTGGAGCTGGCTGTAGACAGAGAGGAAAAGTAGCAAAAGAAGAGACGAGAAAGTGCAAACCAGAATTTTTGGAAAACACTTGTTCTACCCCGCCTTTGTTAAAAATTAAAACAAATACCCACCAGCTGAAAAATTATATTGAATAATTGCACTTCAGATACTGTGCCAACAAAACACACATGGGCCCTGGTGATAAAACATTTTCTCCCAGTGGAACAAATCACTTATCAGGCTATGATACAAAGTAAGGAAACATTTCAGTACAAGTGAACTTTAGCTTCACAATAGTTGCAATAAGGGAATGCTGACTTTCAGCTGCCTTATTTGGAGGAGCCTACCCACAGCCTTTACTTATCTGCTATTGTGTAATTTTTAATGTCATATCTGCTTATCCATGCCCTATAATTATTTTCCACTAGAGACATGTACAGTTACTATTTTGCTGCCTCACACGTTTCCTTTAAATTTGCATCTCCCTCTTTTCTCAGCCACTTTGTTTCTCACTTTCCTTCCATACCATGACCATTTCCTCTCTTTCATTCATTTCCATATTATTTCTTCCCTTTCTTCAGTCTCTTTTTCCTTTCCCATCTTTCATATTCTGTGTGACACAAAGACTGTAGACTGTCATTTTTGCTTTTCCCTATTTTCTCCTCCATGGTGTTTTTGTCAAACTTGAGAAGAGAGAGAAAAATTTTGAGCAGCTTTTTCATTTATCCTGAGCTCTCTATGCCCTTTCTCCATGTGAGGAAACGAGCAGTTTGTCCAGAAGAGTTTATCAGAGCCACATCTGTACTGTGCTTTGGGGTGCCAGGAACTGGAACAAGACATGGGGTTGCAATGTAGAGTAGTGGTCAGAAACAGCACCAAAATTTTTCATTATCCTGATATGAAGAAGAAGCTGAGATTCCCCTAAGAATCACAATTAAGCTGATTTGAAAAGCCTTGTGAAAAAGGAGACTGCAAAGGTGGTGTAACAGAAAGGTTTTGCTGCAAGGTCAAGGCATTTGTTTGCAGTGTGTTATTCCAAGGGCTGCTTCTGCCTGTTGTTGATGATACTTTAATTTTTTCATCACCATGGATAGTCTTAATATATGAAAATCACTCATGAAAGTGAAAAAAAGAAAGGAAAGGAAAGGAAAGGAAAGGAAAGGAAAGGAAAGGAAAGGAAAGGAAAGGAAAGGAAAGGAAAGGAAAGGAAAGGAAAGGAAAGGAAAGGAAAGGAAAGAAAAGAAAAGAAAAGAAAAGAAAAGAAAAGAAAAGAAAAGAAAAGAAAAGAAAAGAAAAGAAAAGAAAAGAAAAGAAAAGAAAAGAAAAGAAAAGAAAAGAAAAGAAAAGAAAGCCCTCCAAGCTCAGCAGGTGATACCACACTGGTTATTATTTAGAGTTGCTCCTCATTTTTAATCTGGGGTTTTTTTTTTGTTTATTTGTTTTTATTTTTGTTTTACAAATACTGGAGAAATGAAGGGAACATCCAAATTCCACCTGAGAAGATATACTTTTTTTTATGTTCAATACATATACTTTATACTATATACTATACATTATACTTTTTTATGTTCAATACATAATTTCCATATTATTCTTCATATTTAGAAAACATCCACAACTTCACAGGAGGTAAAGCAATCCCAAAAGCACAACTCTGCTCTTTTATTAAGGAGGCTGGGAGACACCATATGTGTTTTAGCAGTCGGGTGTGTACAAAACAACAAATCTTGCAGGAAAAGGGTGCATCAGCTCTTCTTAAATACAGTGCCCATTTTCTGTGAGCATTTCATGGCTAGAGAGAACTTGTAGATGCAGAAGGTCTGTTGACACCACTTAGCCTAAGCCAGGACTGTTGCATTTTCCTTCTTTTCTCTCCTCAGCAAAGCAAAGGGGTTGTTATGGACCAGGCTGCTCCTTGTTGGAAGCAGCAAGTAGTGCCACGTATGACCTTTTGTTGCTTTGACATGCTACCTTGTAAGCTGGTAGCTTTAAGAAATGCAAAGCAGAAAAATTCAATCTCCTGGAACATGATGTAAAGCCATTTAATTATTTTCAAGACATTCTTTGGGAATGACTGGGTTGGCTGCTTGAGGTGGGGCGTGTGCGTGTGACTAAAGGTTTGCACTTCACCAAAAAAGGCCTCCCGGGTGTCCCAGGGCTGCTCAGTCAGGCTGTTTCCTGGGCTGGCCTGTAAACTCTGGGCACTTGGAGATCATGGATGCTTTCCAACCAGGCTGCCAATTTTCAGACCAGGCTGGGTAATTCTCAGGCTCACCCACTGCTGCCCACGAGCTGCAGTTTCCATGCCCCTGACACTGCTTTTCTTTGGCTGTGCTCCCACCAAGCACCCACAGCATGACTCCAGCCCTGCCACTGCAAGAGATGGAGGCTCCTGAGTATTAAGGATGGGTGAGAGATGGATGTTTTTGGTGCACAGGGAATGCAGTGGGTTTGAAAAAGTCTTCTTTCTCAGAACTAAAAAAAAAAAAAGAACTGATATATTTTCCTCAAATTTCCTGTGAGGCCAAACCAGATCCCTCTCACTCTTAAAACCCCCTTTTTGAACTGCTCTCAAAGTTTCATTTTGATAAAAACTTGTCTCATTCTTACTCCACCTTGAAAAATATTTTTTTTCCATGTACTATAAAATGAAAGTCAAACCCCGGTAAGCCATCATTTCATGCTGAAAAACTAAAACATTTGCTTTCAGAAAGTTCAGGCAAGACCTTTGAAGACTTTCTCTAAGATATTATTTTTTATCAAATGAGGTGTTTGGTTTTTTTTAATTCTTTTAATTTTAGAGAAAACCCTTTATTTTTAACAAATTGGCACATTTTTAGCTTTTTGTTTGTTTTTTTGATTTTGGTTTTTGTTTTGCTTTGTTTTTCTGGTGGGAAAGGTGTTTCATGGAAGATTTCCATGCAGCTCTGTAGTGAGCTGGCCCATGGAGATACTGTGAATGATTTTACCAATCAGTGGTAGAGAAGAGAAACATTTGCAACAAAACTTGACCTAGGGTCTCCTCAGCTTCTCCTCTCCAGTGTTTTACCTGCTTCTCTTCCCTGTATCCTTGCACAAACCAACCACTCACCTAACCTACACTACAGGCACAGCTGGAGATTAGAAAAAAAGGGCTTCAGACACTGAAAGAAGCTGGAAAGCTACTCTAACCAGGTATACAGATCTTCACAGGTCTATGGACAGAAATGTGGGAAGATCTAATTCCCATCTCCAGTGGCTGAGATTCAGTGCTCTTCTCCCTCGATACTTGATTTTTTCCTAGGAGAATTGTCTCCAAGGACTGAATCCAAAGATCATTGAAGCCAGCTGAGAAGATCCCTTATAATGAATTTTTCCATAATTTTGAAAATCCTGACATTTCTATTTCTTTAATTATTTTTTTTTCTAAATTAATTTTGAAGGAGGAAGAGCTGCTATTATTTATGCTCTCTTCTTTGCCAGCTATGGTAGTATTAGGTTTTGAACTGAGCTCTAAACCTTAATTACTGTACCAGCACTGCAAAAAAGCCATTCTAATTCCGGGAATACAAACATTCCATTGTCTCTCAAAGTCTCAGCTAGAATAAAATGTCTTTCAAAAAGCACTTAACTTTTAAAACCAACTGCTCTGCTCTTCTTATCACCTTCAGCCTCTAGTCCTAGAAGTAAATTTCATCACTTTCCTTATACAAAACCTAACCTAAAAGAACCAAAGCAGGGCTGTGGGTACAGAGATGTTTCTCCTCCCAAGGTGGGTGGAAGAATACATAGCACTGCTTTGTTAAAGAAAGGTTTTCCATCCATTCTCAGCCAAGGGAGACACATTTTGAGTTCACATTTCAGCTGACCAGACAGGGCTACATGGCTCTCAAGGAGTTTCTGTGGCAATAGATGAAAATATTTGTATCTGGATTTGTCTTCTGCTGTTTTTGTCAACACCAGAAAAGGTCAATGTTTTTCCTTGGTCAGGGAAAGAAGATGTCTAGATTTACAGCAGCATGAAAGCTGAAAGAAGAAAATCAAGAAGTAGTTTTGGCTAGTGGCAGATCCTTCAGTGTCCAGGAGCCATTAACCTATTAAAATGAAACTGTTTCTTTTTCTGTCTTCAGGACAACTTCAGTCATTCCATAAACTCAGATCCTTCCAAGCAACTCGGAGAGAGGCGAGTGCAGAAGCAAAGCTCCCCAAAAGGTCCCTGCTCATCTCTTCAAGCAGACACTGCAGAGAGAAAGAAACAGCCTCATCGAGCCATAATGTCAAGAAAATAACTAAACTAGTTCTCTTTTCCTCTTGCTAGCCCCAGCATTTAACTTTTGACTTTTAGAATCTAAACATAGCAACATGGCACTGAACAGAAGGCTTCCTAAATTTGGGGAATCTCAAGTCTTGTGTTTAAAGTCTAAAAGAATTATAATGCTTATTCTGCATATCTTCAAAGTAAATCAACAACTAAGCATGATTCCTATCCTAGTGTTGGAATGAGAAGCTAGATTCACAAAATGTTACATTGTGGAAATCTAGAGTAAGAGTGCATTAAATCTGAGTCTTGCCCAGCGCAGCGTCACTTTTCTGTCAGGTTCCCATCTCTACAACCTCTTTTTTACACTGTTTATTTCAAATGCAGATCCCCTACATGTTTTGACTAGGAAATGAATATATGCAAGACCCCAGACCCCAGCAGCATGAGGAAGCAGACATTTAAAAACACATTTATCATTTCAAGGAAGCCATTCCAGGTTGCTTTTTCAGAAAGTGATTGAAAGCAGTTTAGGAAATGTAGAACACTAAAATAAGAAGGTGGAGACACAAATATTGGTATGCTCTCAGATTTGTTCAAGGAGATCAGGATTCTCAAGCATATAAGAGTAATTTCCACGAAGTGTAGTTTCAAATCAAAATTCTTGGTTTTCCTCAACTAAGGCAGCAAAAAGTTGTCAAGTGGCATGTTTCAGGGTTAACAAAGCACTGGCTATTGCTCATGCCCACTGTTGGATGTAAGTGAATACAGAAATAACTCATCAATGGTTTGAATTGGCATTGGATTTTTAAATCTGGTGGTTCTGATTTTAATTTAACATATCCTGTGGTGCAGTGTGTGAAATATGTACTTAACCCAGATTGTTGTGAGATGAAAGCACACTCGTGTTTATTTTACATTATTTGCTGTAGTTTGTTGAAAGCCAACATTCCTGGGCAGTGAATGCAGCAGGGATGAATCATTTGAACTAGGTGAGGGGTTAGCAGCTGGAAGAAAATGAAAGTTAAATAACTACATTAAATTTCAGCAAAATGGGTTAAAAAATGTAATGCTAGAGAAACTTTTATCTCCATTCTGAGAGAAGGTATTATGGTACTTATTTCTATGGATTTTCCACCAGCACTTTTAATGTCAGCTGTGATTAGAGGTAATTAATATCACACATTTTCTAACTTCAGAACTGAGGTGCTGAAGCATACTTAAATACAAATTGCTACCAAGAGCTGTAGAAAATGCACCAAATGACAATATAGCACCAGGGAATCAATCCTAATGATTCATATCACCTTAGGAATCTTAATCAAGGACCAGGACATCACCAGATTGAGTATTGAATAGTGAAGGGAAAAAGATGGGCCCTGCACTAGAGAGCTTAACACTGAGCCAAAGGGGAATGACAAAGTAGGCAAAGAGAATGGAAGGCAGAACAAAATGATGGAACAGCAGCACCAGAAATGCACAGGGGCAGTCCACAGTAAAGATTTTCTGAGAGCTTGCAGCAGTGATTTTGACAGAAGACGAGAGAGTGGCTGCGTGGGTGTTTGTGGTGGGCCCGTCTCACACCTTAGTGGTGGGAGTGATGGGCAGAGGTGCCTGCCTGAAAATCTATCAAGTGGGAAAGATGGGCTAGATGAGGGCAGAAATCATATCTGGCTAGTGAATGATGTACTTGAGCCTTGAAAGCAGAAGGAAGGGGCTTCTCCTGAGCATATCAGGGCAGAGGAAGGGGGCCAGAGAAGCAGCAGCAGAGCAAAAGCCTCCCCTGAGAAAAGGATGCTCATAGCAATGTTTGAGCTGGGTACAAGTTGGATGAGACAGTGCTTTTCAAGGCCAGAAAGAAAAAGAGGTGGGAGTAGCTGAGATTCGAAATGCCAGAAGCCTGCACAGGATTTTTAGCTGCAAGGAGACGAAAGGCCACAAAGTAAAGATGGTATTGAGAAAAAAAAAAAAAATAAAAAAACCACTGAGGATGCGAGAAGTCTGAGACAAAGATGTCTCGTAGGATGCCTGTGGGACAGGCAGCATGCTCCTGAGGCCATGGGGTGGCTCCCAGAGCTGTCAGCTGAGCAGCTCTGCTCCCACCACGCTGGGCTGCAGCTGACAGGGAGTTGTCTTTTGGGTGGTGTTAGAGAGAGAGGCCTCAGCTGGGAGAGATGGAGCAGGGAAGCAGATCCGTGAATCACAAGGGACTGGGATAGGGAATTTGAATTTGGGTCTGTAGGTGAGGTTGCACAAAGACAGTACAAAGACACAGAGAGAAGCAGAAGAGGGAAGCAGATGCAGAAGTCCCTGGAGAGTGGGGCAGTGAAGAGGAACATCTGCAGAAGGAGACTTGAGCAAGGAAGAGAAGCCAGTGGGTCACCAAGAGAGGATGGTGGTTCCATGGGTGCCTGGCCAGTGAAAGACTCAGGTGGTGCCTTCAGGGCTGTGTGCTTCTCCTTGTGATTTCACAGGCTGCTCTGCAGAGGTCTCTTGCTGGTCTCTGACTTCCTTGGTCTTCAGCTGCTCTGCTCTCCTTGCTCAGGTGTGAACAAACACCAAGCAGACAGAGGACAGGCTGGGACATCCTGAATTACCTTCCATCATCTGAAAGATCAGCATTGCTGAAACCCAGAAGTGTTGAAAGGTGTCAGAGTCAGGGAATCAGTTGGGCAGGTGCACTGAGGAGTGCAGAGAGCTGGGAAAGAAGGGGCAGAACAGCAAGAGGCTTTCCCTGGGCTATCAAACACTTGAGATGCACAGCTACAGGGTTCATCATCACCCTGCTCCCCTGATTTCAGTTTTCAGAGACAGCATGGTTTTAGTCCTTCATCATGCTGTCAGTCTGGTCCAGATGGCAGAGACTCAGAGCAAAGCAGTTATTCACCAAGAGAGGGATTGGAAAAGGACAGTCTTTGTCTAAAAGCAGTAAAGTGAGTATAGTACAGTGAAGGCTGTACTATATCTAAGAGTAGTAAGGGCTAGACTGATGTAAAGTGAAGGTGGTCTTGTAACTTTGGTTATTCTCTGCATTTTATGTATATCTTCCATAACTCTGAATAATACAAATTTTTGTTTGGCATAGGTTCTTGTGCTTCAAAAATCATGGGAATACTTTATCTGGCTAGATAAATGTTTCCTGGTTGCTCTTTCCATTAATTCTTTCAGTCTTTATTGAAGGGCAGAAAGATAGGGATGCTTAAATTTCTAGAATCATTAAACTTGGAAAAGACCTGTGAGCTCACTGAGTCCAACCCAGCACTTTCACATCCACTACTAAACCATGTCCCCACCTGCCATATCTTGATGGCTTCTGAACATTTCCAGAGATGGTGATTCAACCACTTCCCGGGGCAGCCTGCTCCAACACCTGATCCCCTTTTTAGTGCAGAAATGTTCCCAGATATCCAACCTAACCATCCCCTGGTGCAATTTCTAAAACTTCCTTTGGAGATGCTCACTTAAATTCAGCGCACAGGTACCTTCTTGAGCTCTGGGCTGATCTCTGAGGTTGTCAGCACAGGTGCTGCTGCTGAAAGCCCTTTTTGCCTCGCTTCTTTGCCAGGAGAACCGGCGCCCTGAAGTTGAGGAGCCGGTGGCGGATGGATGTGGCTGTGACAGCGAGCGGCTGGCTGCGGGCTGGCTGCGGGCTGGCTGCTCCCGGGAGGCCCCGGAGCGCTGCCGTGGGGATCGGCGGGGCTCGGGGGNTTTTTTCCCCATTATCGAAGCTCTCAAATATTCCGAGAGAGGTTACAAAATGTGTTTACTTACAAATTTGGAAGTAGCGACAAGACGCAATGCAGTGAATTTGTCATCTGCTCATGACTAGCAGATGGTCCTCCTTCTTTGCAAGCAAGCTGCGTGAGTCACATCTTGCCTGGTTTGTAGGATCGAGCCCAGGAGCTCTCTGGCACCAGGGTGGACAGAGTCGCCCATCCTGATCCTGCCCACACAGCCAGTGGGCTCTCTGGCACTGGCTGGATCTCCCCGTGCCTTTTGGAAAGGTTCCTCATCCCTCCTGCTTCCAGGGCAGGTTAATCCGGGCTCACTCCTGTCTGTAGACGCTGCTTCACGTGGCTCTTGCGGTGCAAAGGGATCTTTAAATGGGAACATATTGCATTAAGGTTTTACAGATGAGCTGAAAGAGATAACTGTGAGTTATGCTTAAGCAAACTCATTTTTCAGCTGTGGATGAAGCCAAAGTGGGAAATGCAAAAAAGCCTGATGAGACCCTTTTGCTTGGAATCAGTGCTGCTGCAGACCAGGGCTGCTGTGAAAACCCAGATCCTGCATCAAGGCAAGATATGTTGAAGCTGGCTCTGAGCTGTGCTCTTAGTGATAATACAAAATTAAAGAAGTGCAGCTCTGCACTGGTTAGAGGTCTGTGCAGAGCTTGCAGAACTGGAGTTGCTTGTCCTGGTAAACAGATAAGGCTCAATTTTATTACAGGTATGTTAGAAAGTTGTTTTACAAGACTAAAGTCAGCTAACATTCTCTCCTGCCTTCCCTCTCTGGTTTGAATTGATTTCTCTTGATAGTTTTTACTCAGTTGTGACACATTTCTGGTTTTGTCATATCATGTAAATCTGCATGATTGGTTTTCCTCTAGATTTGTGTCTGTGTGTGCATATTCTTCACAGCAGAGCAAGAGGGAGCAAGTTTTAATGATACAAAAACGAGATATTAAGAGAGATGAGGAAAATTCAGGGAAGACATCAACCTTAAAATATTTTGAAATGTTTTTTTTTTTGCAAAGAGGACAGGTTTCAGGTTGACAGACTCTTTTAGAATGAATTCATTTCCAAAGCTGTCACTTATTTATATGGCATAATACTTGTTGCTCTTTGCTGGATGCAAGAGTTCCACTTGCTCACAGCAGCCATGGGTAAGTTGTACACTCCCAAGAGATGCTCACATGTTTGCACAATGTGAGACACACAAATGGTGCTCGACATTCTGTAGGTAGCAGAGTCCATGTGAATAATGTAAAGGAAGTGCTGGGTTTCCTTGCCTTTCAGTTTCTTCTGGAGTGTTTTCTTGGCTGGTTTTCATAGAAGAGCACTCCAGATAAAGGCACTCTTCATAGGTAAGAATAGAGAAACAATCCTCTTGTTTTCTGAAAGAAATACTAAAACCTGTGGAGGACAGTGAGGAAACTCATGTTAACCTGGTAACTAATCCAAGTCTGGCACCAGGAACTCAGATTTGGAGATCCTGGAGGTGTAACCAACCTGAGAGCACCTTGGCACAGCCACAGTCCATCACTGACATTTCTTCCAAAGTCTTCTGTTTCAGAGGCCAGATGCTGCACTGGGAACTGCCTCCCTGCAAGGAGACGGAGTTTGAGCTGTGTGAGCTCAGTCTGAGCTCCTCACCTGTAACTGTGAAGGTGCTGGTGCTGAATTCTCATCCAGAATGTGGGAATGAGAGAGAAAGAGGAATTGAGGGCTGGTTGTAATGAAAACATGAGGGGGTTGCTTGCAGAGGTGGATGGTCTCCAGGTTTGGGGTGACATTCATGGGGGCCCGTGTGGACTCCAGTGCATCTAACCAGCATCAGAAAAGTCCTCCAAAGTGCCAAGAATAAGTTTGTCCTCTTGGTCCCTGAAATGAGCCCCCTCTCTCCTCTCATTGCTGCCAATAAATCCAGGATTAGGAAGCTGACAGCCTCCTACATGCTCTGGAAGAATACAGTGACCACATACAAAATTTATAGCCTACAATATTGCCGTAGGTGGGGATATAAAATACTTTTGTGGGGTTTTTAGGCTTGGGATTCCCCTGTGGGTGCTGGCAGTGACAGACCTATCCTGATACTTTATCCCCCTGGAGTAAGGCACACAGGAAGGGGCTGGTGTGCCCCAGGTCAGTGCAGAGTCCCAGGGATAGATGCTGTCCCAGGTGCTCTGGCAGGGTGCAGGTTACACCTTTGTTTGATGCACCTCGAGACTTGGCTTTTGTTCCTCAGTCAGATCCACTTTGCCTCAGGTCAAGGCTGTTTTCTTTTTACTCTGTCAAAACCCTACAGCCCTGGCTGGTTGCCCTCTTGGACAGCCTCATTCACCACCTAAGACCCTCCCTTAGGGCCTCAGCAGAGAACTGCTTGGATGGGGAGCATGGGCTTTCTAAAACATGGGCACCACAGCTGGTCAGCATTAGCCTGGTGGGTTTTCCTTGCTAACAGCATGCTCTGCTTGCCCCTGATTACTGCTGCCTCACCAGCTTTGGTGACCCCATGCTCACAGAGGGGAAGGAGACAAAAAGGAATGCTTGAAAAGGTCCATGGGAGGCCCAAGTGTGAAGTCTGCATGGGGAAAATTAATTCAACAGAAGCTGTGAATAAAAAGGAGTGGTATAGTGAGCTCACACAGGCTTGACATTCCTTGGTTTCTACAATGTCTGGGATCTGGATCTGAAAATCCTGGGTGAAGCCATCTAAGGAAGATGAGGTGGTAAAGGCTCTCACTTGTGTCTTCTTTGTTGCTGTTGGAAGTGGAGGATCACAACTGTGAAATTTAGATGTTATGAAGGACTGCTAGGCAGCCAGCATCTGTGAGGTTTCACCTCTGAGCTGAAGCTGACCTGCAGTGGGCAAGCTTCTCATTACATTTGGGTTTGCTTTTGGGTTTACTGGGATGAATACAAAATATAAGTCATTCCAGCAAAAGAAGAGCTGCACCTCCATTGGAGGTGCTTTGGGTAAGTGGGAATCTCTGAGATACATATTCTGTAACTCACCGTGAGACTTTAAAGAGGGTACCTGGGAAACTGAGAAATGAGAAGCCACTGGAAAACCCATCATCTCAGTGTTGGATTTTCACAAGGCAAGAGGCTTGGAAGTAAATTTAAATTTAAACTTAAATTTAAATTTAAGGCCCCTTCCAGCCCAAGCCATCCTGTGATTCTATGATATTTGGGAAAGGGCAGAAACCCGGATGCAGAAACCCAACAAAGTTATCATACTTCTAAGTTATTTAGTTTAAAGCTCATGGAAACCAGATAAGCCTATGGATAAAATATTAAATAAAAACTTCAAAACTTGCTGTTAAGTAACTATAACAAAGCAGACAGATGTCCTGGCTGTACTAATACATGACAGTATCCAGTCCCTACACCTTATCCATGCCTGAGCTGCCAGCATAAAATCATGAGTGTATTCAGCTATTTCAAAAAGACCTTGCCAAGATCAACTGTTTAATGCATGCTTTGTGTATCTGGGGTGAAGAAGACACAATAGAATGGCAAATCTTACCCAGAAACAGCATTGCATTTCTGGATTTCCAACCTATCTTAGCCTCAAGCAAGGGAGAAGTTTGTACAGCAGCTAAGATGATTAACCATGACTGACGCCACATGTATCCTAGGCTGGAAGAACTGCTAAATCTCCAAATTTTGCCCAGTCATGTCACTGAAAGTGATTCCATACACCTGAAGAAGATTGCTACACCCAAATGTTTATTTTTCTGGTGATACTGGCTGACCTACTTTTGCCTACCAGGGGAAGTACAAACTGTTCCTATCCAAATGTCCTGAAATCATCCCAGATGAGCTCTCAGACCTGTTTGAAGTTATATTCTGGGTCCAGCCTGACAGAAAGCTGAGATCAACACCTTGCACTCCCTTTTCCAGCAGCCTTTGCGTGCCTGGCTGCGGCTCTGAATGAAAACAATCTCTCCCAAAAAGTAACGCAAGGATTTGACTTTGTCAGGAAAGAAGATGTGATAAGAATGTGGCTGTCTTCCAGGGCACATAAGGGAGAGCTTCTGGTCCTGCTGCAAGGCAGATCTCCTGCTGGGAAGTCCTGTGGGAGGAAGGAGTGTAATTTTGTGGGACCGGCATTAAGGATGAACTCAGCATTCACTACTGGATGTGAAATAGCCCCTTGAAGCTGAATCCAGCTCTTCTCAATCTCTAAAAGAAAGAACTGTAGATTTGCTAAGGAAAACTAAGCCTGTGGTCTCAGGGGATATGAGATACAATTTTATTGTTAATTTGTGTATTTGCCTTGCTGCAAATGTCATCTAAAGCTGTGTAGGAGGAACGTATCGAGAGGTGTTTTTTTCAAACTTGTTTTATTTGGTGTAGACACACTCTGAAATAAACCTGAAGCCTGGGAGGGTTAGGAGGCATGGAGGCTGTGCTTGAACCTTAACCCCATGAGTGTTCTTCTCATCCCCATGGGCTCTGGCTGCACAGCCCACACAGGGCTCCCCAAATTATCCCAAAGTGGTAGGGATCGATGTGGCTTGTAACTTCTTCCTTAACTTCCTCACTATTGATGTTTTCTAACAAGAAATCCAAACTGTGACTGGGTAAATGAGTGAAGAAAGACCTTTCGAAAGAGGAGCAAAATGGGAGCTGATTCAAGCGTCTGTAATTAGCTAATGGCTGTGAATATTTATGAAATCTCCCAGCAGTGGCAGTGAAGTGCTGATCCTAGAGAAGTGGACGCCCTCTTCCTTGATGTCTTTAATCCTTGCAGTCCCAGCTGCCATGGCTCGACTCTTGGAAAACCCCACCCTCTTTTTGGCCTCTGATCAAAATCAATATTTCAGAGGGAAATCAGAATGGCAAAGGAGTTAAACAAGAGTTCAGATAAGCATAACAAATACTGGAAAGATGAGATCCTCCAAGCAGAGTGCTCTAGAAAGCACTCCCGTTAATCTGGGCAAGGCTCTCATCAATTGCTCTGTGCAGGAAGAGCTATTCTTGGACTCATAAGGAGGTAAGGGATTTATTTCCTCAGCTGCATGGAGTCATGCTATGAGATATCATTAAGTAAGAATAATTAAGATTCACACTTTCGACATACAAGATTTGTAGGTTTTCCTGTGTTCCCAGTCCTTTCCAGATATACCTTTCCTAAGTGGTAGTCAGGATTTCTGTACCATTTAACTATATAATCCTTACAAGTAACTTTTTTATGTCTGTGTGGTAAGTGGCTGTGTTGATCTGCACTAGAGCATCTGTAGATGAATTTGGTAATTAATTCTTTGGTATGATAACAAAATAAAATATTGAAGTGTATTTTAATTCCAGCAGTTCAGTGGTGATCCAGCAATGTGGATTTCATTTTCCTGGCAATACCTTGACTGCAGTTAAGACATATCCCAGAAAAAAATGACGGTAAAATCCAGAATGGTCACATCAGGTTAATTGGTTTCAATGGCAATATGAGGAGCTTGCACTAACACACAGAGCTGAATTTTCAGGGTGTGGGAAGCAAGTGTGCAAAGGGTCTGATGATTAACTTTCTGGCACCAGTTGCTTTTCTGTGACACTGCAATCATTACTTCAGGCAAAAACAAATCATTTTGTTGCTTCATCGGCAGAAAAAAACCCTCCATCTTCTGCCAAGCCTGAGCCTTCTCCTTCTTTCTGTGCATATGGAGGGACTGTGGCAGCACTGTGGAAGAGACCAGAGTGAAGGTGCCAGGAAAGCAGAGATCCCAGTGCCCAGAGAGCCCAGTGCCCAGTTGAGGAACAATCCATTCCACCGTAACTTTCGAGATCTACTGAGGTGTTTGGTTTTACAGAGAAACAAACAGATATTTTTTTTCATTTTCAGAGCCCCACTCTGGATTTCTTGTGAAGCTGAGTGTTGTTCGTGTCTGGACCATCACTGATTGTTGCTAATTTTGATGCAGAGTTTGACTTTCCCTGCAGAGCAAAGGGTTTAATGCTCTTCTTCAAAGGCAGTGCAGATGGTTTATTGTGTGTCAGAGATCCAAGGAAGCTTAAATAGATAAATTTAAAAATGAGGTCCAGGACTTAGAGAGACTGGTTGATTCCTAGTAGGTAAAGCCAAGTTAGAAGATGGCCACTGCCAAAGTGACTGTGGGACCAAACAGGTTTGGGATCTTACAACTTCTGCCTATTCCCTCACACCTTTTTACTGAATAGTGGCTGGGCTGGCACTCATTTAGGCTTCCATTGATGCTACTGCTATTGAACAGAAAAACCACCATACACTTCATTTTAAGGTTTCTGAATCAGGAAGATATAATCATTAAGGGAATGATTTATACAAAACTGCTAATTGATGAGCCAAGGGAGAGCAGAACTTCTTTCCTAAAGAGCAACAGTTCATGTCAGAAAGGAGTACAATGTCACTGCTCTGAGATGACTGTTTTTAAATGTGGTTGTTTTACTGCCATTCAGAGTCATAGGATGGTTTGGTTTGGAGGGGACCCTGAAGATCACCCAGTCCCAACTCCCTGCCGTGGGCATGGACACCTTCCACTAGAGCAGGTAGAAGAGGGGGTAAAAAAACAGAACCCCTGTGGGAAGGCAGGTGTGTGGTACAGTGTGACAGGAAAGGTGGTGCTGAGCAGTCCTGAAAGTACAGGAAGTCACAGGAATGGGAAGATCCAAGGGGGAAAGGGTGGGAAAAATACTCGCTTTAAGCAGATGAAGAAGTTCGCAGGCAGATTTCCCTTCACCTGAGTAATTCCATGCCAAGGTGCTTCCCCAGCAGTGCACCCCTGAGTGTGCTACAGAAACATAACTACACATTCTTCCCCAAAATTTTCCCAAAAATTGCAATGGTGCAGAATAAAAAATTGCAGCTATTACAAAATTAATATTGCTCTGTATCACATCTGCATCTCTTAAATGCATGCCATTCAAAATTCTTGCTGGTTTTGTCAGTCACGTGCTCTTTCAACACTTTCAATGCACTAAGAAGAACAGTAAAAACTCTAAATCAGGTGTTTAAATCTTCACAACCGTGCTAACTTGAAAGAAATTCAACCTCCCAGGCTAAGAGCCAGGTTTTGCTATTGCGAAAAATGGTTCTCCTGCATGTGCTAAGGGATTAGATGTTCCTGATGTTCTAGACAAAGGCACTGTAGGTTTTCCAATGGTGATAAAATGCAAATTTCACCCATGAGTCTTTCTGTTGTCAGGGAGGAGAACAATCTACCTGTGTGTGTATGTATGTGTATGCTTAAAAATTTTAAAAATTTAAATCTGCTGATAAAGGGAGTGTAAAAGGGTATGACTTCTCCAGAATTATTTTTTTTTTGAGACAAATATACTGAATTGCAATGAAAATATAGCTAATCTATAAGTAACTTAATCTTTAATATTTAAGTAACTTAAACTGTAGTGTTTAATATTAATATGGACATGTAGCCTGTGGCTTATCAAAGTATAGGGACCATACTGACAAGTGAAGTATTGGATCAACAAATAAATTTTGCAGGATCAGAAACAGTCACCACACAAACAAAATAAAGAAAGTCCAATAACAGGAAAGGCAGAGCATCTGTACTAGTTATGACTGATTTTCCATTGCCCTACATCCTTGGTAGCAATTAGGTGTGGCTATAAAATGTTGTTAAAAGTCTAAATTGAATATCTGGTTTGCAGTGACTTGGCTGAACGTTTGAGCTGCTCATGGTGGATTAAACTGTGTAGTCACAGAGGGATAAATTTGCAATTTGCAACCAAGAACATTCATATTTTAGTAAATCAACACGAGAAAATTGACTTTTATTACTGAAATTCCAAATGTATCCTAGCCCTAGGGCACATGATGTCCAGAATGCCCTTACTTACAGTCTGCACCTGAACTGTCTTTCACAGGACAGGATGCTGGTTTGGCAGCATTCACCATTGCTGACAAGTGCTCTTTGAAAACCTGGGCACGATAGTCTGAAAGGTGATGCACAGAGCAAGTTAATCCCCTTCAGCAGAATTGGTTCTCTGCCCTCACCTGTGGTTTTATCAAAAACTAACCAGGGGGTTTAAAACATATTTTGAACTTGTGTCAGAGAAATGAGATGAGTTCAAGAGCTCCTGGAGCTCTCTGCCCATCTGCCTGCAACGGGAGTGAAGCTCCA